AGGTGTGGAAAGATAGGTAGGATTGTAGGGAGTATTCAATGAAATTATAAAACAGAATTTCCCAAACATTTGGAACATAAAGGGAAGCTATTACAGAAAGACAGTGAACCTCAAATTAATTCAATCCCCAAAGATCCTCACCCAGACACATCATTGTCAAACTCCCCTCAAATGAACATAAAGAAAGAATTCTGAAACAAGCATGTAAAAATGATCAGATTACATATAGAGGATAACCGATCAGACTCACTGCTGAATTCTCTGAAGAGACTCTTAAAGTAAGAAGAGAATGGAGTGATATTCATCAGATTTGAAAACAGAATACCTGTGAACCCAGAATATATCCAGCAAAGCTTTCATTTATATTTGAAATGAAATAAAATATTTCCACAGTAAAAAGATGCTCGAGGACTTTGTGAACAGTGAACCAGTCCTAGAAATGCTACTCAAAACCGTGATAAAGACAAAAAGAAAAGAAGTTAGCCATTCTCACTGATAGAAATATAAATATTCCATTAAAACCCATAAAAGAAAGAAAAAAAACATAAAAGAAACCAGAGATAACAAAGATCACAACTGCAACCTATCAATATTAATTCTTAATACAAATGGCTTAAACTCATCTATGAAAAGACGCAGATTAACAGAATGGATCAAAGACTAGGACCCATCTATCTGTTTTCTACAAGAAATTTAATCAACAGAGATACAGAAATTGAAAGTGAGAGGATGGAAAAGAACATTTCATGCCAATGCAAAAGAAAAAAGAACTAGTGTATCCGTATTAATATCAGATGATATAGACTTCACCATGAAAGAACATTAAAAAAGATGATGAGGGTCACTACATAATAATAAAAGGAACCATCCACCAAGAAGAAATAACAGTAGTAAGTATATATACACCAAATACCAGGGCACCTAGCTACATGAAACAAGAGGAGATGCCGATGTCAATACAACAATAGTGGGGGACCTTAATATCAGTGAACAGATCAACAAGAGAGAAACTCAGCAACGAAACAAGAGATCTCACATAGACAATAGAAAAAATGAACTTTATCAATATTTACAGAATACTTCATCCCATGGACACTGAATATACAACTTTTGTCCATCTGTACATGGAATCTTCTCTAGGATAAATCATATTATAGGTCCCAAAACAAGCCTCAGCAATTTTAAAAATTGAAATCATCCCATGCAACTTCTCAGACCACCATGGAGTGGAACTACAGATTAGTAAATCAAATTTTTTTGAACATGAACAATGTGTCACTGAACAAACAATGGCTTAGGAAAGAAATTGAAGAGGAAATTAAAATTTTCCTTGAAACCAATGAAGACTCAAACACAACTCACCAAAACTTATGGAGGCTACCAAAGCAGTGTTGAGATAAATTTATTGCAATCAGTGCCAATATTAGGAAACAAGAAAAACACCAGATAAATGAGCTAAACATACACCTGAATGAACTAGAAATACAATACCAAAATAATCCCAAGATCAACAGAAAACAAGAAATAATCAAAACAAGAGAAGAAATAAACCAAACAGACACCAAAAGAACAATACATAAAGTCAACGAAACAAAGAATTATTTCTTTAAGAAAATAAATAGACATCCCACTGGCAAAATTGATTTTAAAAAGTGGAAAAAGACAAGGGTTAATAGCATCAAAAATGAAAAAGGAAACGTAAAAACAGATACAACACCATACAGAGAATAATCAGAAATTACTGCAAGCAACTATATGCCACCAAATCAAAAGACTTTTAAGAAATGCTTAATTCCTGGAAACATACCACCTACCAAAACTGAGTCATGAGGAAGCAGAAAATGTAAAAAAAATTATAATGAGACAGATCAAATCATTAGTTACATCACTCCTAACAAAGAAAAGTCCAGGCCCAGATGGCTTTTCTGCTGAATTTTACAAAGCCTTTCAAGTAGAACTGACCCCAATTCTTCATAATATATTCAAAACAATAGAGAGCCATTATATCAGACCAATCAATCATATGGACTAGGTAGAATTTATCCTTAGCATGCAGGGATTGTAACAAGTGCAAATCAATAAGTGTGATGCGCCACATCAACACATTGAAAAAAGATGTGATCATCTCAATAGATGCAGAGAAGGCATTTGATGAAATCCAACATCAATTCATGCTAAACATGCCAAGCAAGATATGCATAGAAAGAAGATTCTACATCATAATCAAAGCTATATCTGGAAACTTTTCCACTAAGATCTGAAATATAGGAGTGTCCAATTTCAACACTACTATTCAATATAGTATGAAAGTCTTACCTAGGGCTATTAAAGAATAAAAATAAATTAAAATAATTTCTTGTTTTTAGATGACATGATATTATACATATGAGAAGCATTATAGTCAACCAAGAGTTTATTGGAACTCTTAAGAGAGTTTGAAGGGTTGCAGGATACAACAATAATGAACATAAATCCTAGTATACAAAAACAATTGCATGGCTTAGGAGGAACTCATGAGTACAGTCCCCTTTAACAGAGTGACGAGTATTAAATACCTTGAAAACCTAAAGACCTTACCAAAGATGTGGAATACTTCTTTAATGAAAATTGCAAAACATTGAAAAAAAGAATAGAAGATGTTAAAAGATGGAGATATCTACCATGTTCTTGGGTTGGCAGAATCAACATCATCAAAATGTCCATATTAGCAAAAGTATTTTACAGGTTCAATGCAATCCCAACGAAAATCCCAACGGCATACCTACAATGTCATGATACACTTAAACAGAAGAACAATGAACTTGTGACTATTGCTGAAGAACTATACTATTGTAACAGTACAGAGGAAACTGATAAAGGGAGGGAAAAAAGGAAGAGTGGGAAGGGGAAATTGCTGGGGCTATGGAACTGTATCATGAAAAAAAGGTTAAATAAATAAATAAGTAAATCAGTAAGATTTAGAAACTCCATTTTTATATTTATAACCAACATAAATATGGGCCCTGTGCTCCTGAAAATATAGCAACATTTTGAGTCAAATTTGAAGCATTCAAATATCCGGTCACACAGTTTAGACTGACAGAATACATTGTCATGTATTCTTACAAAGTGGAAACGAATGGATCACTTATACCTAAGCATCTCAGAAATGCGATGTGTATTAAGAGGTCCGGGGAGAACACATATAGTATCAATTCATTCAAATTATCAGAAAAATAAATGATTGTTTGGATATGCATATTGATTTATAATAAGACTACGAAAAGATGAAAAGTTAGGTCATTATCATAAGGTCCAGCCAGTAAGCATATAACTGGCGTGAAGAGGTGTATTGAAATTTGTTGTGGGTGTTGACAGCATGAAGCTCTACAATAGCTCCATGTTCTCTTTTAAATAAATTATTAGTTATGTTTATGTAATTTCTGCTTCTGGATTTGGATGATACTTACATGTTCCATTTGCAGTAATTTGTCAAGGTCTATATACACTAGTGTACACACACACACACACACACACACACACACACACACACACACACACTTTTTCCTTTTCTCAGGGCTAACAGAATGCCAAGAAACCAGAGTGGGTTGGAGGGAGACTCAGCCTGGCCCAGTGCCATGAACTTTGCTGCATTTGCTGTAACATCTTTATTCTCATTTGCATTTCTCTTGTTGGATCAAGGTCATAGCTCTCAAACCAAAACACCTTAGAGTGAGGTCATTATCATGAGATCCAGCCAGTAAGTATATAATCGGAGTGAAGACTGTATTGAAGTTTGTTGTGGGCGTTGACAGCGTTAAGGTATACAATGGCTTCATCTTCTCTTTTTAGTAAATTATTAGATGCTACAATTATGTTTATGTAATTTCTGTCTCTGGATTTGGATGATAGTTGCACATTCCATTTACAATAATTTATCAGGTTCTATGTAAGCATGTTCTTTTCTTCGTGTTATATTTCACAATAACAGGAGTTAAATTTAAAAACTAGGTTAGAGAGATGAGGAAAAGTGAAGCTGTGTGGCTCAGAATAATTTTTCTTAAAGATCGTTTTTATTGTTTGAAAGGCAGGACTAGGGCCCGGCGCGATGGCACAGTGGTTAAGGTCCTCGCCTTGCACGCCCGGGATCCCATATGGGCGCCAGTTCTAATCCCGGCAGCCCTGCTTCCCATCCAGCTCCCTGCCTGGGGGAGGCAGTCGAGGACGGCCCAAAGCTTTGGGACCCTGCACCTGTGTGGGAGGCCTGGAAGAGGCTCCTGGCTTCGGATCGCCATAGCATCGGCTGTTGCACTCACTTGGGGAGTGAATCATCAGATGGAAGATCTTCCTCTCTGTCTCTCCTCTCTGTATATTCGCCTTTCCAATAAAAATAAAATAAATCTTAAAAAAAAAAAGAAAGAAAAGTAGGACCAGGGAGAGAGCAAGGCTGAGTGAGAGAGAGAGAAAGAGGGAGAGAGGTATTTTCTATACCCTCAGTAGGCAGGATTTGATCAGACTGAAGTAGGTTGCCAGGGGCTTCATTTGGGCATGCTACATGGGTACAAAGGCCCCAAAATTTGGGCTATCTTTTGGGACTTTCCAGATGTATTATCAGGGAGCTGGATTGGAAGCTGAATAGCCAGGATACAAACTGGTGCCCATGTAGGATTTTTTCCCCCTGCAGGTGACAATTTACCCATTATGCCACAACACTAGCCCTTTCAGAGCAATTTTCAAAACTAATCTGAGTATATTCTTACATAATGAAAATATGAATAATCATCATTTGCTTGTTTGGCTTTTGTGGAAGATGCAGAATATTACGTATTTTTGTTAGCTTAAGTAGTGAGGTGACAAAAACATCCAAGGGGATACGTTATAAAACAAAGCAATAGTGCATGAAATTATACATTACAGTTTTGGATATAAGATTGATTGTTTTTTTAAAAAAAACTATCTCAAAATTCCTTCCAAACTTGTCTTGAAAGATTATTATTTAAAATATTTAGGTATATACTCACCCAACTGACAGGAAAGGCTCCTTTGATTCAAGTCTATGAAAAAAAATGAAACATTCATTTTAATATGGCAACTTTCTAAATTATTTAAATTACTTTCATATTTATCTATTGGAATTATTATTTTGATGTATTTATTTGTGGTTTTTGGACTGGTGAAGAAACTTATAATGCGCCTTTTCCATACTGGCTAAATAAGCTACTTCAGAGTAATGTTTTGTGAAGTACGGAGGGGCAACAGAGACTACATGGCATTTTATTGGCCTAGTGGATAATGTCAGTTTGTACATTAGGATTGTCGGTGTCCTCTCTATCTCTCAAGAGCTATGTATTTTTTTCAAAAGGCAAGTCTGGTCCAGAAGTTTGTGGTTGCTTGTGACATACTAAGGGAATTACTCAAAAGTGCTCTGGAGGAAGTTTGGCGTAGATGTTAAGACACTAGCTGGGACAACCACGGGCAGTGTCTGTATTCAAGTCCTGCCTTTGCTCCACCTTCGTACTGATCCACACCACACCTTGCAGAGTCAAGAGATGGGAGGCAAGATTCAAGTGTAGGCATTTGCCATCAGTCTGGCCCAGAACAGAATGTATGGGGTTTGGGGGAAGAATGAACTAGTCAAGAGAAGATTCTCATTCTTCTCTCTCCTCCTCCACCCCTACCCCTGTTAAATAGATAAATTAAAACATTTGTGTATAATTCAAAATAAATAGATATAGGTAACCAAGTATATACATGTATTCTCACAGCTGAAAGATATAATAGAGATTAGCATACTTGGAAATAAAGTAACATTGCAGTATTGAGTCTCTACTCAAAAATAAAAGTAGGACTCCAATTTTGAAATAATGGTCCCTGACAGTATGATACTAAATTTTCTACCTTAACCTATACCTACCATAGCATGATACCTTTAAATAACAGAAAGTTAATCTTGTAACTATTACTAAGGGGCTAAACTGCTGTGATAATTAGAAAAAATAATAGTGGGGTGTAGAAGAATTTGAGAGGAAGGAAGCAGTGGGGGAGGGAAGAACCCCTCTAACTGCAAAATTGTATTGTGGTAAATACAAATATAATTTAAAATGACATATTTAGATACCAATAAAGGTATAAAATGTGGGAAAAACCCTTTCATAATTTTCTGATTACTAAATAAACTAGAATTGATTTAAAAAGTTCTGATTTGATAAAACAACTCTAACAAGGCATATGTCAACAGTTTAGGTGCGGAACAGTTTTAGGAGGGGTGTGCAGAGAAATCTTCAATACCCTAGCGAGGAGTAACTAATCTTTGTGTCTCATTTAATGAGGTATAAGTGAATCCATGCTGACCGTTTGAGTTATAAGCCAGTCTAGACTGCCCGAAAAATAGCCAGGTTCAGCAAAATTATGCTTCAATGCTATAAAATGCTAAATACTATAATGAAAATAGACACGAGACAGCTGAATAGTAATCCATAGCCATTTTAAGGTGTATAGAACCAGGTTATATAAAAACTGAAATTGAAATGTCAATGAAGAAGTCACAGGGTGTTGTTGGGAACTTGCTTTTTTTTTTTTTTAACATATTGGTTACTCAATACTATGTCAATTAATTCCATAGCATTATAAATTGTTGCTGATGTTATGTTGGAGCATTTAATTGATAGGGATGATACTTTGCCGGCTCTACCTTCAGACCAGAGATGGTCTCCCCAAGAAGCCGTTACACTTATCTGGACAATAAGATGCTGGACTCTATGCTTGGTATATGCTTGCAATGAAAGAATCTCAACTGAACTTGAACTGTGGTAATGCAACAAGGTGAAGGAATCCACCATGGGGGGAGGGTTTGGGGAGGGCTTACGGAGGGGTGGGGGGAATTCCAGTGCCTATAAAACTGTGTCACATAATGCAATACAATTAATAAAAATAAATAAACAACTCTATATCTCTATAAATTGTCCATAAATTATGAAGAGCTATACCAAGGCATTTTTCAGACATCCCAGGCAGCCTGATACTGTGGTGTTTCAGGTAAAGCCAACACTGGAGACAGTGCTAGCTGTCCCACTTCTGATCTAGCTCCCTGCTAATGCGCCTGGGGAAGCTACAGAGGATGGTCCAGGCACTTGGACCCTTGCACACAATGGGAGACCCAGGAGAAGCTCCTGTCTTCTGGATTTGGATTAGCCCAACTCCAGCCACTGCAGATATTTAGGGACTGAACCAGTGAATGGAAGATCTTTCTCTGTTTCTCCCTCTCTCTCTCTCTCTGTAAATCTTTCAAATAATTAAATCTGTGAGAAAAAAAAAGATAACCAAGAGAAAATTCAGGTTTTTTTGAAATATATATATAGCTCTGCAGGTCAGGCAATAAGTCTGAGCTAGAATATTCCTTTTAAATACTCATTCTCACATGAACAGGCATATGTTTATGTACATATGTATTTGTGTGCATATATGTGTATATGAACTTGTGCATATATATATTACATACTGTATGTATGTATGGTAGTTGAAATTAGCATTGAGAATCTGATAAACTATCAGTAAAAATACTAAATGTGAAGAAAAGACAAATCGAGTCGAATGCTTAGTGGGATGGCTAGTAAAAGAGAAGTGCAATAGACAGGGATGGAACAGCTAAGAAAAGGGAAGTCAGAAGAATCAAAACAAAAAAGCAAGAGAAAACACACGAGCTGCATGGTACTTTACTGGCCATGCTATCTTCATTTTAGGATATTTTAACATGCAGTTATGGGTTAAATGGTTAAATATTTGCAAATATTGAAGTGATTTTAACTAAACTATATGTGTAATGTGCTTAAAATGTTTTCATGATTGAAAATACATTATTTCCATAAAAAGAGTTGTTAGAAAGCTGGCAGAAGTTTAATTCTGCAACATGACTGAGAATCAACTAGCTGATTTTATATATTAACTTAAACAATTGAAGTGACCTTCCTAGAATTAGTATAAAAACTCATTTTATGTAACTGTAAATAGTGAACATAAATATTGCTTCTTATCTCATATATATGTAAAAATAGCTTATTGGAAATATGCATTGCTGATATACGGATGGAGCTCTAGGCAAATAAGCAAAACAGTAAGAGGACTCTCTTGGGGAACCAGTGTTCTGAAACTTCTTTTGGGCAGCTACAAGTAAGGAAACAGCAAATAAAAGCAAGAGCTGATGCTCCAAGAATGAAACACACACACACACACACACACACACACACACACACACACACACACACACACGCACACACACGATTGTTTCCTCTGAGTAATCTAACATTACTCATGTATTCACATCTATATAAATTAATTACGATTGCTATGCTTTTGATATGGCTCAAGTGTGCTTCACAAGGGTTCTTGTGTGACCAGCTTGGTTCCTAGTGTGCTGATGTTAACAGGTGGCCTTATCTTTAGGTGGTAAGGTCTTTAAAAGAGGGAGAGGTTGTTAGGTCTGGAGGTACTGTCCTTGTGTGGTGTTAAGGTAGTTCACATAGGACTCTACTTAGTGTTCTTGGGAAGAGGATCAGAACAGAGCAATTCTGGTCCCTCCCTGTTATTTCTGTTTGAATATAGCATCTCCCAATCCCAGGGCACTCTTGCCCTGTGATGTTATCTTCTACAATGTGATGGTGTCAGACGAAGGGTGGGGGAAGCATTCTCATCAGGAAAGGCACAATGCTGTTTGGAGTTTTGACTTTCAAAACTGTGGGCTAAATAAATTTCTTTTCTTTACAATGTACCCAAACTCAATTGTATTGCTATAGACGTTGCGAAATGGACTAATACACACTGTGTTTATTTTTCTCATAAATTTGCTAAAGAGATAAACCAAAGGAAAGGAACGAAGATAAATAAGGATAAATGCTTGGCTATGTTTGGTTTGTAAGACAAGACCCGTGTCAAGGGATCCAAAGGAAATCTCCTTCTGAGATTTCTCCTTCTGAGAAATGAAGGGATCCTGTTATATGGAGCAGAAGATTGTTTCATTCATGATGAGACATCATGATGACATCATGATGAGATCAGGACTTGTTATTTTCCATTTAATAACACTTGAAAAAATGCATGTGGGCATTATTGGAATCCGTTTTCTCTGCATTTGCCAATAATTTTGGCCTGCTGATAACCAGGTTTTAAAATATGTATGGGAATTGTCTGTGTACGGGTCTACTCTCCAGCTGCTCACCATCTGATAGTGTATTGCATCACATTGCTTTCTTTATGGGGATCATAAACCAGAATAAAAATAAAACCAAAAGTTTTATTTCCTCTGCCACTATCTAAGTGCTGAAACCTGAATATATTTCGAGTGGTACTTATTGATGATTTTTTTTTCTGAAGATTACAGGTAAGCTACTATTAGATTGAAACAAATGGGGAACATACATTTTTTTCACTGACCCACTGTTTAATGTGGTTAGTGTGACTAGTAGTAAACTGTCCCCTCCTTCTCTTAACATTCTTTATACCACTTTGACTATATCCATACAAATACTTGAAATTAGAAGACTGCAGAGAGGAAGCCAAAGTTTTTGAGATGAGGTTTAATCAAATGTGCCAGTTAATGCTCTAGAAGCCAGAGGTTTGCAATTCTACAGGCCAAATCTTGCTCTTTGCATGAGTTTGCATAAGCCACAAGCTAAGGATATATTTTGTAGTTTTAAGTGGTTAGAAAACCTCAAAAGTGATATTTTTGTGATGCAGGAAAATTACATGAAATTTAAATTTTTATTGCAAATAAATACAGCTTACTGGAATGCAGAAACACTTTTTCATGTATATATTATTTAAGCTGCACTTGCACAATAGCAATAAATCAAGCATTTGTGGCAAAGACTGTATGTCCACAATCCCAAAATTTGTACTACATGTCCTCTATAGAAAGAGTGAGGCAATACATGGTGTAATTATCTTGTTGGATGGATAGGCACTTTTTATTTTAAAAACATACCAAGATATTTCCCCATATTCAGAAATATAATAATTTGATTTTCTTTTATACATTAACAGTTCAGCTTCTGCTCCTATT